CACGATCCTGCTTAAAGCGCTTGACGTAAAAAGCTGATTTTTGGAAAACAGATTGACTTTAGGGTGTAGAGGTTCGATAAGAAGGGATTTTTCGAAACTCGAATTCTAAGGGGGTGAAACTATCCCTCAAATATTAAAATATTTTTTTATTTAAAAACCGGTGAGTTTTTCGGAAAAACTCTTAACAGGTATATTTTATTTTGTTGTTTTACATATTATTTTAAGATTTTTTAAAAATTTATACAGTGTTTCATAAAATATGACCATTGAGTAATCACGATTATGCTTAAACTGCTTGACGTTTAAAGCTGATTTTTTATTACCTGTGGAGTGTAGAGGTTCGATAAGGAGGGGTTTCTCCAATATCAAATTCCAAGAGGGTAAAAACGCCCCTCAAATATTACAATATTTGTTATTTATAAAACGGTTAGTCTTTCGGGAAAACGCTTGGACACGCATAATTTATTTTGTTTTTTACATATTTTGAAATTTTTTAAAAAATCATACAGGGTGTTTCAAAAAGTTGGGTAATTGATTAAACACGATTCTGCTTGACGTAAAAAGCTTGAACTAAAAAACTGCTTGACGTAAAAAGCTTATTTTTGGCAAACGGGTTTTTCGAAAGTCAGATTCCAAAGAGATGAAACTACTCCTCAAATATTACCAAGTTATATAATAATATCGCCATATTTTTTTTCATGCTGACATAAATGTGAGAAAATTTTATCCAGTTTGTACGTTAATGGAAATTCTTGCTTTGCTTTATCATCACCACTACAAATGAATAATTCGACGCGAATGAAGTCGCGGGTACACGCTAGTAAAACTATAAAGCTGCTGAGATGAACCAAAAAAACCGAAACTACCGAGAAAAAATGCACAACAGTGGTTCATAAATTGTTGATTGGTTGCCGTCAACTATCCTTAAGTTGAATAATATTCATATCTGACCAGAGCCACAGCGCTCGCCAGACACCTCGTATAAAAGACAGGAAATTTAATTTTTAACTTTAAAAGAGTCTAATTCAATTTCTTAACCATTCAAAAAGCATTCTTCTCAAATGACCTTTCACACTCAATTTTTATATTTCTAATGGCAAATTATTAATCACATTTTCTGCGAGTGAAGTGTTATAATACGCTCTGATAGGATATAATATATTAATTATGTCAATATTATTAAATTGTTTTAAAAAACCCTGAAGTCATAAAGATATTAAATGCAATAAAAATATTATAGTACGTATTTTTTTGCCAGTAGTAAGTATTTTTAGAGAATATAATATAAATTTTATCTCAGAATATACTAAATTGTAATGTTCAATTCGTTTCTTTATATTATGCTTCAAGACTAGCCGTCTTTTTACAAAAATACACTAAAAATTAAGGCTTCTATTCTAAGGTCTATACCGGGTGTTGCATCGTCGAGCGGGACATAGGAAATCCCATGTAAATTTTAATGGGGTCAATTATTGGCTTCTCTAATTATTTTAGAGAATAATTCTATTTAGGTTTATTGAAGAGCACTAAAACCCACATTCAAAAGAATAACTTTAGGTATTTTTGGTTAGCCCGTTTACGAGTTATCGCCGATTTCTTTTTAAATATTTCTCCTTTCTTATGGCCCTGTATTTACTTATGAGCACCAGTCAAGGTAAAAGATAACTGTCAAATGAAGTTGTTATTTCAAAAATTTATCTATTTAGTGCTTTATTATTATTATTAAAAACTCATACCTACATCGAAAATATTAGCCATGAATTACACTACCGAAGAAAAAGTATTGATGATTAAATGGTATTATCAAGGAAATAGTTATCAAAAGGTGTCGGACATGTTTGCTGCTCTGTATCCGAATAGACCGATACCTGGAAAATCTACAATCGCAAGGAATATCCAGAGATTTGAGACCAAAGGTACCCTAATAAATAACTGCAGATGTGAAGCAAGGCAGGAACAAAGAGAAGATGCAAGAAATGATACCGACTTGGAAGTTTTATTGTGCGTGGAAGAGAACGATGGAAAGATCAGCACAAGGAAACTTGAGGATGAAATAGGAATAGATCACACTACAGCGTTTCGAATTTTGAAACGACATAAATACTATTCCTTCAAATATGAAAAGCACCAAGAGCTACGAGATGGGGACGAAATACGGCGGCAGGCGTTTTGTTTTGATATGATGGAAAGAGCAAACACGGATAGGGAATTTTTAAAAAACATATGTTTCACTGACGAATGCACGTTTACCTTAAATAATGAACCCAATGTTCAAAATTATCGATATTGGAACAAAGAAAACCAACACAGGTTTGTCGAAACAAGGACGCAATATCCACAGAAAGTAAATGTTTGGGCAGGGATATTCGGACACAATATCGGGCCATTATTTCTTACGCGAAATTTAAATGCAGAATATTATTTGGTTTGGTTTGGAAAAAACTAACTACTCGAAAATCATATTTTACCTGCTTTACACGATGCCGCTAGGGAAAATCAGGAAGTTTGGTACCAAATGGATGGCTGCCCGGCACATAGTACCCTGGCTGTTCGGGAATATTTGACAATAGTTTTAACGGAAACGTTATTAGCCTAAATCATACAGTAAATTGGCAAGCAAGGTCTCCTGATATTTCGCCAAATGATTTCTTTCTCTGGGGCCATTTAAAAAACAGGATATACAAGGATAAAAAATACCCAAATCTAGACGAGTTAAAAAATGCTATTTCTGCCGAAACCAATAGAATTTCAGTTTACCAACTAGCAAATGTAAGAAGAGAATTTTATGATCGCCTGGGTTATTGTCTAGCAGTCGATGGAGGAATATTTGAACATCTTCTTAAATCCTAAAGTTCTAACAATTTAATAGTAGATACCTAAATTAATAAGTTATTGAATATTGTAATAATACTATAATTAACCTTGTAATTGATTACTTTATTTTACTTTAATTCATATTAATTTTTATTTATAAATACATCTTTAAGATTTCCGATGTAGGAATGAGTTTTCAATAATAATAAAGCACTAAATAGGTAAATTTCTGATATGACAACTTCATTTGACAGTTATCTTTTACCTTGACTGGTGCTCATTAATAAATACAGGGCCATAAGAAAGGAGAAATATTTAAAAAGAAATCAGCGATAACTCGTAAACGAGCTAATCAAAAATATCTAAAGTTATTTTTTGAATGTGGGTTTTAGTGCTCTTCAATAAACCTAAATAGAATTATTCTCTAAAATAATTAGGGAAGCCAATAAATGACCCCATTAAAATTTACATTGGATTTTCTATTGGATGTCCCGTCCGACGATGCAACACACGGTATAAATCATCCACGTAATGATTTTTGCAGATCGTAATACATTTGAAATTTGTTAGTTTTACAGCTTTTCATAAGGGTCATATAAAGAATTATACGAGTATCTTATCTCCATCTACTACTAAAATACAAAATTATCAAACCAATAAAATATAGTAAATAAAATATACTTTTTATAATATATAAATCATTCTTTTATTGTAGATATAGTAAAGTATAAGATCCGGCATAAAATATTAAGGTTTTATCAGATAGATCGTCAGTGTATATTACTTATTACAAAATTTTGAGGAACGATTTTGTGATGGTCACTCCATATATTGAACTTGTCATCTGCTTTGTCGGGATTGTTAGAATCTGGTGGCATTTAATTTTAACCTTCTATTGTTGACATCGAGACATCGACAATACGTCGACTATAAACAAATGTCGAGATTTACGTCGACAATGTCGAGAATATCACAGGCTAGGTTTGTTATTAGAAGAGAAGTGAATTATTCCCACTCCTTGATTGATTAAGAAATACTCATTTCTCCGGATATTTTTGGTTATTTAGTTTGACTTCTAGGCTAGTTCTGGGCAGAGTTTGATTGTTCTTTTACTCAATTAATTGCAGTACATTAGGCTACATTCTACTTAAGGTCTATAGTTATGCGTCATTAAGAATGTTGAAATGTATCAGTAGTAAAGGTGGGCAAAGATTGAATGAGTTGTACATTTGAACAAGTATTGAAAATGAATCGTGAGATTCGATTCATTGCTTGCAATCCGGTTCGTTCAATTGAATCGTGGGCAGCACGGATGCATAAGATTTGAACGATGAGCCGTAAAAAAGAATCGTGAGAATTGAATCGGATCGGAAGAAAAGACAAAATCGTGTTTTTATGCAACCCCAAATAAATATTGTTGGCCTCTGCTCAATGTGATAAAAACGGCGTCAGCGATGGTTATAAAATGAAGATCGCTGTCATTTTATATGTAAAATTATATGGAGAATGTCATCCATGTTCATTTCCAAGCCAACTAGACGCCAATTTTTTTCGATTATGCTGTACCTATTATATACTATTTATTATGATTATTAAATCGGAATTAAAATATGGCTTTAGAATTATTAAATTGGTATCAAGAAGTCATTAATAAATACTATATATAAATTGGATTGATAATTTAATATTATTGGTAAAATAACCAATCCAATTACGCCTGTGTCATAAAGTGTTCAAAACAAATGAAAGAACTGTATATTTCTTTTTCTGGTTCCTTAAGTAATTGTCCTACTAAATTATCGCCAGTAGTGCCAGTTACGATTCTCGTTTTTATGAAACGTGATTTTGTGTAACGAAATGTCGTTCAATCGAACGAATCGTATTCAATATGAGAAATTGAATCGTGTGATTCGATTCACTAAAAAGAATCGTAATGGCCATCACTAATCAGTAGTATTACTTAATTTTTTGCATTTTTCCTTCTAGTTAAAATAAGCAATAACATTTTATCAGGTATATTCGCAACACTTTAAAAAGACAAACAAGCCTTTATTACTTGGCTTAGTGATTATTCACAAACCTGGGACATTGACGAAGTCACTGAGGAAATCAACATCGACACCATCATTAGTGCGTCAACAATTCAATTCCAACATTCAATAATACAATAAAAAACATGTACTTACCACACATTCGCTGCCATTCCGAAGTAATACAACAGAAGAAACACGAAAGCACACATGACATTCGGTAGTCCATCTTCATTGTTCAATCTTATGGGATCGGGTGTAGAGCAAGATCCAGATTTGGCGGAAAAAATGCTCAAAGTCCATCCAGCGCCTACCAAAAAGTAGCAAAGTGCCAAACTGATTAGCGGTGGTGCTCTGACCTTACCACCTCCCAGCATCAAGGTGAAGGCGGAGGCTAAGCTGGCAACAACGCAGAATAGAGCCCATACAGTGATCCAGAGCTGGAAATAAAATGTTATTGTTTATACATATGAATATGGAAGTAATAAGCGGTTATTGAAACAAAAAATGGCCCTTAACTAAAATACATATAGACTTCCATTTCCATTTTTTAATAGTTTAATACAACACATACATCTTATACAAGTTGAGACGACTTGTATAAGATGGACAATCGTTCTCAAATATACCTATTATGGTCCTCTAATATTTAGATTATATTCTTTAATAATTCACAAATTAACAAACTAAATACAGCCAACAATAAAGTCTCAAAATGAATTTAGCAGAAACTAAAGTAATATGCAACGAACTAGTAGACATAAAAGAAATTTTAATAAATAGCACAAAACTGGAAATAATAGAATACACAGCTCGGGACCTCTACTAGCAGAAATCAACCGAAGAATTACTTATGGAAGTACCGAGTACTTACTTATGGAAGAAACTCAATCATATTCAAGTCTAGAATTCCACTTTATCTAAAAAAGAAAACATTCGACCAATGTGTACTACCAGCCATGACCTGAGCATGCGAAACCTGGACTCGAAGAAAAAAGAAACTCCGAAATCGGACATTATAAGGAAACTGCAAGTCGCACAACGCTCAATGGAACGAAATATGTTGAGAATAACCAAGAAAGACCGTAAAAGAATAGAGTGATACGACAAAAGGGCCATGTAATAGATGTCATCCATAGAATCAAATCCCTAAAGTGGCAATGGACAGGATACAGGATACCTGGCAAGATGATTCTTCAGTCGTGTCATTTTTACAAAGTCTTAAGTTGGATTTACATTGTACACTGAAAGGACAACTTTACGGACAATGATATTGGCGTAAAAGTGCACTTTTTCAAGTTAATACCGCCGTGATTTGTTGTAAGATGTCTCCTTCAAGAAGAAATGCAAATGGTTATAATAATGAATGATGATGAATCGTTTAAAATTCGGATCTCAAAGCACAGATTGTTCACAAAAAACACGTAACATGAAACCTAAAAATGTAAACAAAGCAAAATTCAAACTTCTTATTAAACGTCTTAACTTATAGATAAAACCGAGGATAAAACTAACTGTGGTGTCGTCAAATTGGATTTTGAAAGCTAAAACCTATATGATATTTCAATTCTGTGATGTAGAAATGTTTATATTTTAATGAAATACTCTAATCATTATAGGACAATCGTATACGACATTTCCTTAATAAATATGTGGCCACCTCTAATATAAAATTATTAAACAAGAATAGATAGACAAGCAACCTTAGAGCGATCAACTTAGTAATCATCAATTCGAAGTTGGTCAAAGAAATAGTAGAGAAGCTGAACAAATTAGGCAAAGAAATTTGAACCAAGAGATAGAAGATAGAAAGTAATGAAAAAGCAAACGATCTAGTTAGAAAAGTAGCGAACACTAACTGGACCAGAACGATTCTGCTTCCCAAGTGAAAATCAACTTAAAGCAGAACTCAAAAACCTGGAGTACTCCATCCGTAACCCGGAATGGGAATCCTCCAACGGTCTAAGAATCAAATACTTTCCTTGATCTAAGTAAGAACAATCTTCGGATTGTCACTGGGTTTTTAACAGGATATTGTGTCCTCAATAAACACCTCAGTAGATTGAAGTTAAGAAACAATGGCCAATGCGATTCTGTGGGGAAAATGGGGAACCACCAGAACACCTCATCACTAAGTGCGCCGAGACGACAACCATTCATGCCATAAACTTTGGTACGACTGATATCGAATATGGAGAACTAACCTCTTTAAAACCCTCTCAGATACTAGCTTTTGTCATAGCCCTGGGACTGTATGATGAGTTATAACTCAAGGAAGGGGGACAAAATAGATCTATAAAGCCGGGGTGATTAATTTTTCCCACCCACACAATCTATAACCCCTAATATTTTTCTGTTTACATCTAGTTAGCATATCTTGGATCTCTTTATTTACATTATTCGTCTCAGGAAATGAAATAAAGATCCATGCCCATTGTAAGGAATCAAAAATCAAGTTCAATATACTATTACTTTTCTAATATTATTTGACTGGCTTTAAAATTCAAAACACGTAACATATTAACCGGTAAAACCTTCCTATATTCTTGATATATTATATCTTCTGAATTTTTATGACCTCTACGGAGGCAGAATTTTAATCTTGCAGTACTGTCAGAAGACGAAATAAATTCAATCAAGAAAACGTCCATATATATATATAAACCTGTCTTTCTGGCATCGTATGGAAACATTACATCTCTTTATTTATTATCTTTATTATAGTCGATCGATAAAACATACATATATAGATTTAGCTTTTCTATAAACTTGAATTTTGAGTAGTAATATAATAAATAAAAGAATTTAGTCATAAAATACCGTATGATTGAAAAAAACGGCGTCCAATTGGCTTGGAAATTGACATCAATGACATTCCCCATCAGATTGTATGAAATAAATATTTCAAAATTTATCAATATAAACTACTAATAAGCAATGATGTATGTGATTTGAAGAATACAGACTTCAAATTTCAAGTGTAGTTGCTTAAGTAATACGGATTAGTAGCAATATATATTTGGAATATAAAACACCCTTAAAAAGAAAATTCACTTCTCCAACTCCCAGTGGATGACATACCAAGAATTTACAACTTTGAGAAACACCTCACTGTAGTATTGAGTAATAAAAAGGATTGGAAGGAAGAAACGTTGGCTCAGCATGTAAAAGACTATACCATAACGTGGTATAATGATGCTTCCAAAATCAAAGCAGGGACAGGGATAGCAGCACTAAATGCGATCAACTCAGTAACCATCAATTCGAAGTTGGTGAAAGAATGCCTAGAGAAGCTCAACAAATTAGACAAAGAAAATAAACTTCTCCTACTCTGGGTGCCTGCTCACCAAGGGATAGAAGGCAATGAAAAAGCAAATCATCTAAAGAAAAGGAGCAAACACTCCACTAACTGGACCAGAACCGTTCTGTTTTCCAAGCGGGAACCAACTGAAAGCGGAACTGAAGAATCTGGAAGACTCGATCCGTAACCTGGAATGGAGTCCTCCAACGATCTAAGACACTCGAAAAAGTTCTTCAGAACTTACGACCGAGAAAAATCAAAGGTTTTCCTTGATTTAAGTAAAAACAATCTTCGGATTGTCACGGGGTTTCTAAAAGGACACTGTCTTTTCAACGAAAACCTCAGTAGGCTGAAGCTGAGAAACAACTGCGAATGCATATTCTGTGGGAAAAATGAGGAAACACCAAAACACCTTATCACTGAGTGCGCCGAGACGACGACCGTTCATGCCATGATCTTTGGTACGGCTAATGTTGAGGATGGGGCCGTCTTTGTGGGGCCGTCTCAGATAATGGCTTTTGTTAAAGCCCTGAGACTGTATGATGAGTTACAACTCATTATAACTCAAGAAAGGGGAACACACAATAGATCTGTAAGGTCGCGGTGATTAAATCTCCTCCGAAACATTCTACATGGTACCAACAATTAACCTGCGGAATTTTATATACATGTTTATTCAATGTGTTGTGCAAACAAAAACATATAAAAATAACGATTTATTTATTTATCGTGTGTAAGATTTTTTTTTGTTTACTTTCTTTATAAAATAATAAACAATCTAAACAACTAACAAAACCATAACTCGTGACAGGATAATTAAAATGTTTTAAAGTATTATATTGTCAGGAAAACAAGTATATAATAAATCACAGACTCACCAAATAATCCCTGAAGCATTGACCCTGAGCGGAGGCGTACTTTAATACCTGTCACAACTAAAAGTAAGGATAAGTGCCCAGTTCATAATTCCGACCTACTTAACTGCTAGGTGCCGATATTGTTTTGATTTGGTTTGGTTTGAAGATTTACAAACATATCTATGCAAATGAACTGCTTGGCCTTCCGCCCACGCACCCCCTGATGGCGCGGACTCCAGACTAATCAGCCGCACGGGCAACAGAATAAACAGAACATATCGATCCCGAGATCCGAGGACCCTGGGGGCCTGTTCCCGCCGCTGAAGACCCGGAGGTACCGTCCCAGACATAATAATAATGTCCGTTGACACACGGCGTACGGAATCCCAGATCCCTGCCGTGTGCGACGTTGCGACATTACGAGGATTCGCGTCCCTGCTACTATGACATTACGGGATCCTAGATCCTGCCAAGCAACATTAACGGGCCTATCCTTGCGCTTCCTCAAGCTAAGCAGTACTAACTCTACTGAGAACAGAAATTCACTAATCCACCTAAAGCTTACGTGGCTATCATATTAACTAATTAGGTACTTTATAAAAGAACTATCCAATCTCTCTCTCTCTCTTGATTACAAATTTACTTATCTCATCAAATACTAACGTACTGTCTTGCCCCCGTCCACGCCCCCCCGTGGCACGGTCTAGACGAACCAGAAGACCCGGATACAGCGGCTGAATCTCTCGGGGTCCCGCTCCCGCATCTGGTTACGCCCAGAGGCACAATATAAAAACCGGTGATAACCAGGATTTTACTCCCTACACCGTTGCGACATTACGAGGAATCGCGTCCCTGCTACTATGACATTACGGGATCCCAGATCCTGCCAAGCAACATAACGGGCCTATCCTTGCGCTCCTCCTGACTAGACAGCACCGACTCTACAGAGTAAAGAGATTCAATAGCCTATCTAAACAAAGCTCACGTAGCTGCCGCATCGGCATACCGCCGCATTACTTAATAGCTAACCCTATCTAACTTTCATGTTCTATATTTTGACCTAGCATGTATACGGCGCAGTTATTTAATGTAATATTTATTAATATGTGTACGCAAATGATATCTATCTAAAACGTATCAATATATTTATCAAAATATGCATGATCTAATTAATTAATAAACTACGACACTTAGTGAGATGTACTCACCCTGCTTTCTGCTTATATCACTGCACTAACTAACTAATTAACTTTACTTTAACTGACACACTATTCACGCCACCGCACTCAAAACTGTACTGTGCGTCGGAATACGTGTATTTTTCTGCATTAGGTAATATTCTCAAACTTTCTTTTTCCGAAACAGAATTGTTTCGACCAATCATCGTTCGATTTTGAACGCTTTTCTAGGAATACTTTTACCCCTAAATCGGAGCGCAGGACGCCCATAAAAATCAGATATGGCGTGACATGCTTGAGACGCAGAAATACTTACAAACAAAACAACAAACAAACAACGCTTTATTGTGCAAAAAGCCAAAACAGCTTCATCGACAAAGCACTCACAAACAACAAAATCACAAAAAAATACAAACAACAAAAAATACACAATACAAATAATACAATTCAAAAAAATTTAAGTCTTTAAAATTACAAAAAGAATATACATGGACAATTTTAGAACAGTACGCAGTAAATAGATATAATTTTAAAGTTATAGGATATTAAATACTTGACCTTTGACCAGTGTGTGAGATGATCAAAATTTTAAAATTCAAAATTGTTCATAATCAAACATCAACAAAAAAGTCGTTTACCGCATATAGGGCTCTCTCCAATAGGTATGATTTTAGAGCCTTGCGAAATGCGGGAAAGAATGAAAGCGAATTGATATTCAAAGGCAGATGATTGTACATTTTTTTGGCATTGTACAGTATTGAACCCTTAACTAGTTCTGAGCTCGGGGTTGGCAGATAAAGATCGTGCTCTGCATTCCTAAGTGGATAGTTATGAGATGGCCTTTCGGGAATAGCAGATATGTGCTTGCGGATTAAGCAAACGGATTCAAAAATGAATAAAGAAGGAAGAGTCAGTATTTTCAAATTTTTAAAGAAATTCTGGCAGTGAGTTCTACTGTTCAGTCCCAATAAATATCGAACTGCTCTCTTTTGAAGTATGAAAACACGATCAAATTTTGTTGCGCAGCAAGTACCCCAGAATGGAAGGACATAACGAAGATGTGACTCAAAAAGGGCATAATAGGCTATTCTAGAGGTTGAGAAGTTAAGTTCCTTAGAAACTGATCTTAGCGCAAAACAGGCAGCGCTTAGTTTCTTTGATAGAGCTTCAAGGTGAGAGTCCCATTTTAACGAGTTGTCTACAAGAAGTCCTAAGAATTTCACAGCGTCCACGACGTCAATAGTAGTGTTATTAAGTACAAAAGGTTGTATAGTACTTTTATATGACAAAACTTTAGTTTTTGATAGGTTGAGGCATAGGAGCCTAGCAGGCACAAACTCTTAATATGTGTCGTTTTAAAACCTATGTTAAAAGAAATATTATTGGGAAAATAAACTCACGTTATACGTGGAAACAGTAGAGCTAGGGTAACTTGTTACCGTGCAATATTTTGACAGCTTGAGAGCGATCCATGCAACAAAAAACGTGAAAGAAAATAATCCTTCCCAAGAACTGCAAACATCTGTTCGCGTTTAGCGAAAAAGGATGTTGGTGTGTTTTTAGATATTTTTAATGTGGGTGTTAATGTGCAGATCATGTTGTACGTAAACGTTGTTGTTAGAGTATATAAGCAAAACAAAACTAACAAACAGCGGATGTGTATGAAAAATATTACCAGTAAAATAAACCGCCAATACTTGTAGCTAGTTTTTAGCGCAGTTCAGGCACGAATCGCTCATTAAATTATTGAATATTAATTTTAGGCACAATTGTTATACAGTCTGTTGCATCGCCGACCTGGACATAGGAAATTCCATGTAAATTTTAAAAATGCTGAATAAGTTTTCTCCATTTTATTGTACAGAAAAATCTATTTGATACTTTTTAAAGAACTCCTTAAAATAAATTAAATTGTTTAATTTGAATAATTTATACGAATTCGTCCTTGAGTTATAAGAGATACAAAAATACTAAATTAAAAAAAATAATACGGTCGTGATTAGAATAACAAACATGCCACCTTCAAGTTCAATTTTATGTCAAATTGGCTTTATTGTTGTATATTCCAGGACTGCATAAACGGAAAGTAACAGGTAGAATATATGGAAAAATTGTGAGAAATAGAATCGAAAACGAATACCAAGAAATAGAAGTCGAAGAACAAGCAGGATTTACAGCCGGAAGATCAACGGTTGACCACTTATTTACAGTCACTCAAGTAATAAGTAAAAAGAGTAATCTAAACCAAGAGCTACATCTTGTGTTCGTGGACCTGCAGACGGCATACGACAGCGTTCCCCTTGTCAGACTTTGGGAAGCTATGGAAAAAAACAATATAAACGTGGAGCTAATAAAAGCAGTAAAATTATTATATAAACAAACAAAAACTAGAATAAAAGTCGGCAAAAAGTTAGCAACAGGATTTAATGGAACCAAAGGTCTGATACAAGGGTGCTGTATTTCACCAACACTGTTCAAGATCTATCTTGAACAAGTTCTCCAAGGTTGGAAGCAAGAATGTAGAAATATAGGAGTACCCATAGGGGATAACTCTACACACTGTGCTTCGCGGACGATCAGGTGCTCATAGCACAAGGTTACGATGACATAAATTATATGACACGTAGCTTATAGAAGAATATCCGAAATGGGGACTCGAGATCAATACTAACAAAACAGAATATATGTGTATCGGAGGAGAACAACAACACCTAATACTAGAAGAAGAGAATAAAATTAAGTGCTGTACAAAATACAAATATTTAGATATGCTAATCACAAATGATGGACTGTTGGATACAGCAATTAAAGAACGAAACCAACTTGGAAGGAATGCTATCACGGTAGTAAATGGGATACTGTGGGACAGAAGCATAAACAACAGGAACAAAACACTAATATACAAAGTGGCCCATCGAAAACGTTCCGCAAGGCATAACGGCCAGGGTAATTTTTTTTTTCAGAAAATCCAAAAGCACGTCAATTTTGTTTGTGAGGGGGACAATTTTTGCCCCAAAAATGATTGCAAAATCTTCAACCCTCTAAGCGGGGGTGTCAACCCTCTAAGCATGGGTATATTGATAAATAAGTTCTAAATTACAAGAAAATGCATTTTCTACGGAAACTTAAAGAGATAGGTAAAAAATAGTATGATATAATTTGATAGACAATTAAATTGTGCATCTGATTCTCGTAAAATATACAGGGTGTTCCATTTAAATTAAACAAGTTATTGCCGTTTGAAGCTAATAATTATTTAAAATAAATTTTTAGACACTCTGTATAAGGTAAGTATTATTTTTATTATTGCAACACAATAACTGATCAGTAAATAAACTTCAGTAAATATTTAGTATTAAAAACTTTGATACCCTTGGAGAAATGAAGCCTTAAAATTTTTACTGCAATTTCACAAAATTGAAAATATTTCAAAAACGGTAAGGTTTAAGTATAATAAACCTTAATCAAATTTACGTTTATTTTAATCGTAGAAACTAAAAATGTAATAATATACAGGGTGTTCCATTAAAAAAAATACAACTTTGATATTTTTTACTTATTTGGGACACTCTGTATCTTGTAAAAAAAAATTTTAAATTGTACCTCTAATAGTCCTTCATCGAACCCAAAGCTTACAATTTGTAAAAATCTCATCGTTTAACTACAATACTCCGTGTCGTATGTGGTGAACAACCCTGTATAGTTCTTTAAGTCTTTTAATCGTTATTGTTTGTTACTTAATGTAAATAAATTGTGTTTAAATAAATTGTAACTTTCTATCCATACGGAACCGAGGAAAAACGTAACAGTATTTTGTCCGTCGAATTTGACGATTTCATAGCCAAAAATTTTGAACTATACGCTGCCACTGTTTTATGGTTTAATATTACATGATATTACGGTATTAATAGGAAAATATGCGGTTACTTACCATGGCTATTTTCTTGTCCGCCTCGTCGAACATGCCGCCCGCGCCCCCGCAATCGACCTGCCCCGAGTCGTACTTCCGCACCGCGGGGTTCACCGGAGCCCTGACGTCCACGCGGTCCTTGGGGCCCTCCATGCACATGTGCTCGTGGTTGTTCTCGCCGGGGAAGCGAGAACAGTTGAGAGCGTCGGGCCACGGGAAGCCGAAGCCCTAGAACAACGGAACATTGGTTTTAAGTTGAAGGGTACTAAAATAAAACCAGGTATGCTAAAATAGATACTTATAAGTGTAAGACGTCAATTATGACAACATAATTTTCTGCTGTAACTCTAAAGCCTAATATTTAGCTTATAAAACAATCAACTTTTGATTTCTAACCACAAGTTCTCTTGACGGAAGATAATCAAAAGCCTAAATGACATTTCTGGCAAATTTTGAAGTATAATTAGTGGAAAAAAAGTTTGATAACTTTTTCAGATTCAACAGATTCAATTTAGTTTCAATCATATGATGATGATGCTAACATATTTAGCTAAACGTTAATTTGGTGTATTTATAGTTTCCTACTGGGACAACAAAATTTCTTAGTGCTTATTAGTCTTTAAGTGCTTATCATCGTCTGCAGACGATTAACATATCTCAACTTAAATTGTTTAGAAATCTTTTAATTGCAATTTTGTTCGAAATTCAGCATCAGATTTAACTTAGTTTCAATCATTTGATTATGATGCTAACATACTTAGTTATGTTTATATATATGTTGGTGTATTATGATTAAAGTACCTACGTAGTCGCTCAACAACGTACGTAGATCTCTCTATTAACAGCAAAGGTTCGTAAATTGTTTATCATCATATATATGAATAAAATGTTTCCACAATAATCTCAATTTAGACTATGTAGAATTTCATTTCATGATGATGCCAAACCAAACAAATTTAGCTAAACGTTTGTTTGCTGTATTATAATTAAAGTACGTAGTTTCCCAATATATCATCAAAGTTTCCTAAAATGCTTATCATCATCTGCAGATATCAATCTCTTTTAATTATTTTTTAATTTTAATTTTGATTGAAACCTAACAACAAATTAAATTTACTTTCTATCATTTGATGATGATGCTAACAGATTTAGTTAACCGTCAGTTTGGTATATTACGATTAAAATACGTAGTTTCCTATTATAACAGCAAATATTCCTAAAGTGCTTATCATCATCTGAAGATGATTAAAATTTCTCAACAGTAATCTCAACTTAGACTAATTAGAATTCCTTTAATTTAAATTTTGATCTAGGCTCATATGATGATGATGCTAATATATTTAATTAAACGTTCTTTCAGAATGATAAAGATAGTTTGGAGTAACATGGCTAAAGTATGTAGTGTCCTATTCCAGCACCAAAGTGCCCTAAAATGTTTATCATCATCTACAGATGATTAAAATATCTGAGCAATAACCTCAACTTAGATTAATTAGAATCCCTTTAACTTCAATTTCTCTCACCTAATAAATTCAATTTAGTTTCAATCAAGGTTTCAATTATTTGGTGATGATATATTAAACCAGTTAAACATTCTTTCAGAATTATAAAGGTAGCTCAGTATATGAATAACTATGTTTGCTATTGTAACACGGAATTGTAAGGTGCCTATCGTCTGCAGATGATTAAAATATTTCAATAATTTTCCATTTCAATTTTGATCGAAATTCAACAATTGATTTTAATCATCTGATGATTATTATGATAACATGGTTAGCATACTAATCGTAATAGTATTTTGTTTGCGATTGAAATACGGAATTTTCGACTGTATCCATCAATGATTTCTAAAGAGTTTAAAATTATCCTTCGATGATTATTATAGGTACCCCAACCAAAAAAAAATTCTTTAATGTGTTATGATTAAAGTACGCATTCATCTCTGTTAACATCAGAAGTTCCTAAAATGTTTTATAATAATTATTTTCAGATGGTGATAAAATATCTCAGTGACAATCTTAACAGATTAATTTAAATGAATTAATGAAAGACTCTATTTTAGTTTTAATATTTATTCGAAATTATACTTATTTAGCGAAACTTTTGTCCAGAATAATTATGAAACAAGATTTTTTAGAAAGTATTATTATTAAAGTGCGTTTTTAGCCAAATGCGAGAATGCCAAATCATTAGAGAAACTTTGTTAAAGGGTATATTTTCAATTGTAACATTAAAGTTTTCAATATCATCATCAGCAGATGATTAAAACACAACTGCAAACGCCAATAATGTTGCTGTCTTTTATTTTTTTTAGATAAAACTACCATGCATTATTATTAACCATCTGCTGATGTTATTAATTAACAAGAATATAGAACGATATGAAGTGTTTTGGTTAAAGTGACCATTTTTCTACTATAATGATAAAGGTTCCTTAAACGCATTACCTGCTGAAAATTCAGATATCTCCACAACAACAATTCCGATTAATTCGAATTATTATTTTTATTGAATAGGCTCAATTTAGTTTGAATCTGAGAGTAAGGATACCAAATCATTAGAGAAAATGTGTTAAGGTGTGTATTTTGAAATGTAACATCAAAGGTTTCTGAAGCGTAGGTATACCTATCATCGTCATCATCAGATGATTACTCGACAACAAACTCAATTAATTTTTATGTCTTTTATACATCTTCAGTTAAAACATCAATGCATTATTACTAATCATCTACTGGTTATTTCCAAAGTGATCCATGGCACGAAGCAAATTTCCATCATTAGATATAATCTTCACATTTTGAATTTTGAGAATATGCTAGAAATGTAGCAGCAGGGGTCCATTAAATAAACCAATAAAATTTTGAAAGTGGTCTAGGAGATAAAAAAAATTAGGAATCTCTAAAGTGTTTTTGCGAATGTTGCTTAAAGTGTAATTTTCCGATTCAACTTAACCAAGAACATCTCCTAAAATACAACTAATAATTATTGATGAATAAATTTACCTGCAACACCGGGAAACATCTGGACTTGACGCTCTCGCAAAGTCCCCGGCAAGGTCCGATGGGATTGGCCACTTTTTCCGTACACATGGGCACATAAACCGAACACAAGAACAACTTCAAATGCTGACTACACCCGTACTGTATCAAGGGCGAGAACGACTTCAAATTATAGTCCGCCTCCTGCTGGACATCGTTTCCTCCCAAATTGGGCATCCCCGTCATGTTATAGCCCAGTCCCATGCACATTTCCACCCTGATGGGCTCGCAGGTCCTGAGCAAGGGCTCCGCCGCGACGTTTTCATTCAGAAAAGCGAAAATTAGGAGGAAAAACGCGAGCATTTTGCGCTCCGAAGGACTACGACCGTAGACTGTTCACTCGCGCGACTATTCGAACGGATCGAGCGACTGAGCGGCTGATGCTGAAGCGTGTATGCGCTTGGTACTCTTGCGGTTTCTTGGATGAGCGGCCGAGGACCCGAGGAATGCGGATCGCTTGTTGTCAGGTTGGGCAAGAATTCTCTGAAATTAAGAAAATGTATTTAAGTACTACATTTGATAAAAACGTTTTATGATTAAAACCTAACTACTAACGTGACGTTTGAGAGACGGTACCGCATGGATCTACCAATGATTAACCAAGTTCTTCTGTACTTTTGAAGAGTAACCTTCTATCTACCTTTTATTATTATTTTTACCGCTATGTTGTTAGTGTTCCAAATTTAATAAAAAATGCTTGTTTGACTCCTTTTTTAATTTCAGTAATAGAACGCAAACATTTACGAGCTAGATCTTCGAAGGATTTTTGTGTAATAGATCAGGAGCCAAATTATTCAAAAAATGGTTACTGAAGTGGTAGTATACTGGATTTTACAGTGTACTGATGAGTGTAATAATACACAACAGGATTTGATGGAAACTTAGCTCTAAATACCAATAATACAAAAGCGATATTTTGGACTTTGGACCTAAGATATAAAGAAAAGTTGGCCAAGGTACATAATATGAAATTAAACGTTCTCTCACCCAGTGTGAGTACATATCAAAGTAAAACCTCTGACGAGGGGTAAGGGGACAAAAAACTCACAATCTTTTAAACATTAAAAGAAACATTAAACCGCTCTCGCAAAAAAAATTAAAAAATGAGTTATGCCACTCGTGATATTGACAACGATAAGTGAATTTAAAATATTGTAATTTTTTTTATATTTTATGGGTTTACTGCTAGTCTTAGTTAAACTTTTATATTTTATGGGTCTACTGCTAGCCTTAGTTAATAACCAAAGTAATGTTACTTATTTAAAAAACACTTTAATGCCAATGTATATACAGGGTGTCCCACTAAGAATAGCTCTCGGCTGTATCTCGGAAAGTATTAGCCGTAGGGGCTGCAAAAAAAAATATTTGTGACTAAAGGGGCTATGGAAAATTGCTGGAAATTATTTTAAACCGCAACGGCAACAAAAAATAAGAAAATGGAGTTTTTACACAATTTTGCCTAGATAAGGTGTACTGTAAGTAATAGCTTCATAATCTTCAGTAAATTTTGAATAATTTTTGTTAAAGCCATTTTCCCCTATCTACCAAAATAAAGTGGTGGGGGAAGGTTAGATATGTTTTTATTTAAATATTAATAACTCTGGACTGGATGATCGAAATCCAACAAGCTAGGGCTAGTTTAAAAGAGCGTTTCTTACTCTATATTGTACCATATAATCAATAATAATAAGCTTTTGAACGTAGACGCTAGGGGGCGTTGTCTTACAATTTAACAAACATTGCGCGTTTTTTCAAAAAAATTAAATGCAATAGTATATGTAATTTGAGCTGATAGTAAGGAGTAGTAAAAGCTTAAAAATTCAGCGAAAACCGCATCTTGATATCTTCTTTCAAACCGAAGATATTAGCAAAATTATAATAAATACCAAAAAATAAGCCCTTAATTACCTTATTTTTACAATACGGTATCAGTAGCCCTCTTAATTATGCCCATTCTAACAAAAAAATAAGATAGAAACAGTTAGTTTATTTTAAAATCGACTAAATACCAGAATACCATAATACCAGAGGTATTAATATCTAATAATTGAGATATTAATAACAGTGAAAAAAAAAACGATGATTCAGTGAAGTCATGGTAGGCTTTGGAAAAAGTTGCTTTTGACGTAATAGTATAAACGTCAAATTGTTATTAGATCAACATTTTGATAGTCTTATCAGCGTTTTTTATCTTTTAATTGCTTTTTTAAAATGCCAACAACTTCAACTATTTCAAATAATAAAGGCATTTGAGTAATCGAGAAACGAGAATTGTACACTCGTTGAATTTGACACCTAATATCTGTTTAATAATATATTTTTGTACTTTTGTGCTTAGGCGTAACAGTTCTTTACTTTTGTGCCTATAGCCGTTAAAACGACAAAAATTAATACTTTTGAGACGTTTAAAAACATCCTTTTGATCTGAAGCGAGCCACTTTTTTGCGGAATATATTGATAACCGATGTGGAAAAATGACACGCCCCGTAGAATTGTTAATGTTATCGGTATCGCTCAGAGTTATAAAGATTTAGCCATTTAGGATAGGACTTTAATTGGAAATTATTCCTAGTCATTTGGAAATCCGATTTAAATATTGTTTTGAATTAAAATAAAAAAAAAATCTGATTTAAATAAAAAAAAATCTGATTTTTTTGATTTAAAAAAAAACATTTTTTAAAAAAGTGCAGGACTTGCAAGAGTCTTGCAGCAAAACTGACTAAAAGGTCAAGACCAAGACTACTATTAGACTGCAAGGCCTAGAAAAAAACCAAGCGAGTTTTGATCTTGGTCTTCCATTTACTCATCACTATCTGCAGTTGTTATAGTAAAAAAATAAAGTGTTTTTTTGTATTATAATAAAACAGAATCATATTTTGCTGTTATAATGTCGAAAGTTCCAACCTCAGCTTTATTCCATAGCTAATTTTACTGCTAACCAAATATAATACTAATATTTAGTGTTCTGATATCTTCAATACAAAATTCAATAGAAAACTAGATATACAAGAAAACGCAACTCAAAACATTACTTACCGATTAAGTGACTTAAATCCAGACTTAAACCACCGACAACACCGCACAGCGTGCACCTTTCCGAGCAACCCGCCGAAGGAACCCGAACATGCCCGAATTATTTAAATAGGAGCATTAAAGCTTGTTTGGGTAAAAAGCTGTCGAGTTTTACGATGAATTTTTTCCCTCTTTTTTTCTTTATTTCTTCTTCTTCTTCTTCTTCAGGTCTTCTTTTCGGTCCCTCGCCCGGGTAATCGTGTACGTAACTTAGCACATGCCTTTCTACTAACTTTAATAAATTTATCGCCCCGCGTCTTTTATAACTTTTTCTCTAGCGAGCGTGTGTTTAAACACTAGATCATGGAAAGTTGGTGGAGCACGATAGGAGAGACCCAATCAGTACACAAAATAAAAAAAAATGTGTGTGCACTACGTGCGCATTTTAAATTATTGAATTAAAAATTAATAAATAATTTGATTCACTTTCATAAAATTTGTATTAAAATAACAGTCTGTCCAGCTTTCCGTCTGAGAACTCCATTCGAGTACTTCTATCCAAAAGACGAGTTTGGTTCCAATCGACCAATAATTAAGAAAAATTCTGATGATGTCGTCCATTTAGAGGCATCGCATCGGTTCGAAACGCCGAGGGCGTCATCCTGTAGCCCGTCCCCAATTATGCCGAATTCAACCCACATTTTTCTTCAAAATAAAATCCTTAGTCCCGCCCTGATGAAGATGTAAACGAAACGTTGTATCCAACTTTGCAGGGTGGGACCGAGCGCACCGTCGCTCACAGCCTATATATACAGGGTGTCCCAGAAATAAGTGCAAGTATTTTAACTGTTAGTATAGTTCAACCCCAGAAACACACCTATGAGGTTTTTTCGTAAAAAAATTATTTTTGAAAATTCAAAATTTTTTGGATTTATTTTTAGTTTTTAGTTAAAAAACATAATTTCTTGATAATATGGCAACATAGGTATTAGATAAAATTTACAAGAAAGAAAATCCAGAAAAGATCCAGTGGTTCTCAAAATTTTAGCAAAAAATCTTTTTTTTTGGAAATTTTCATCATTTTTTTTTTGTAAAATAACTCCGTTATTTTAGACTTATTAGAAACATGGTACATTAACATGGTTAGCGAAATGCGCGTCCAGTGTGAAAGTAAAAGTGTTTTGGTGTATTGTGGTGATTTAGTGTTTTTATTGGAAAACCGATAAAGAGAAAATATTTTTCTTTTATCGAGATCTACGATACCATAAAATACTTGCACTTATTTCTAGGACACCCTGTATAGAAGTCCCGTTCTACAGCGTGATCCGCCTTCCGGTTCCTTGTCGCCATTGCCTTCTGTCCATCCAGTCATCGGCTTGTAAATTAGGTAATGACATTGCCTTTGCTACCCCTTTTAACCATCTCTCTGGGGGTCGGGGTTTACATGCTCATACCAGATTAATTGTTTTTTTTCAGATTTCTTCTACGATGATCTCCTTCTTTGTTATTGTTCTTATTTCTTCATTTCGCAATTTTTCCAATTTTGATTTTCTTGCCGATCTTCTGAGAGAGTCCATTTCAGTTGCTAAAAGCTTTCCCTCCATGGACTTGCTTATCTGCCAGACTTCAGCGCCATATGTAAATGTGCTATCGTGTCATATATGCGAGGTTTTGTTGCGATGTTTATTTTTGTTTGCCAAATAATAGAATTTAGTGCCCCTGTAATGCTTCTGGCGTTGTTGATTCTGTTGTTGATAGTATTGTCGCTTTTTCCATTATTGTGTATGTTAGTACCTAGGTATGTGAATTCAGTACATGATATTTTTTTAGCCACATAGCCCCACCAAATTTGGTCGCGATCGGACGACATCAACTTTTGACGTTTCTTACGCCCAAACTAACTGTCACAGTGACACGCGTCGTACATGGTCAAGTTTGGTTTGGTTTGGTTTGGTTGATGATAGGGTTTCATAGTGCAAGAAACGTCATCAAAATATCATGAAAAGATAGGGCTCTTTTATATTTCGAGTTTCAGCCCCCTAGCTCGCATAGGGCTCGAGTTACAATGCTTCAAAGAACCATTTCAACTTTTTTATTGGCTTACCACTTTTTCGATCGTTACCACTTTTCGTCTGGCGTGTCGTCTAGCGTGTCATCTCGCTAGCTTGTGTGTCACGGCCTTTGTTTTTTTTCTCCCAGCGCGCGTAAAAAGATTCACTTCAAAACAGTAAACACGGTGTCCTATACCGGGTGGTGCATCGTCGTTGGAAATAGGAAATCCCATGCAAATCTTGAGCGGTCGAAATATTGGCCCCTGTTGTTTTAAAATGTCTGCATTGAAAAGTTTTTAAAGGTCTGCATTGAATATGCATGCCAAATTTG